GGACAGGCGTGACATGGCACACAGGCAGCCCAGGGCATTCCACCCAACCATGTCTAATATCAACAACCAACCAATCCCAACCAACAGTTCTGGGGTACCCTCAATCATTGTGGAGGTGTAAAAGGGTCCTAGGGCCGTAGTAGTTTGAGAGCCTTTCTGGCATACACTTTGGGATCTATTCTAGCACATTCCAGAGCCCACTGATGCTGCCAGAAAAGCTGGGTCCACCAACTTAAGCTGGCTGGAAACTGGCTGCACAATTCTGACTGTTCTTAAAAGGCTTTCTAGCTGGGCACTATCAACTTACACCAGTAATTCCCAGGAGGCTGAGATCTGAGGATCATATGGCTCAAAGCTAGTCCAGGCAGAAAAAGTCTGTGAGACTTTTATTGCCAATAAACTAGCAAAAAAGCCAGAAGTAACTCCAGTAGGAAAGCACTAGCCTTGAGCACAAAAGCCTGGAGTTTAAGCCTCAAAACCTGTACATACCTGTACAACTGTGTGTACGCGCACAAAGCTTTCTGCATCGTATTTTTGAGGTAGGGTCTCTATGTGTCATCCAGACTGGCCTTGCACACCTGGGCTCAAGTGACGCTCCTGTCCTGGCCAGGGTATGAAACAAATCTCACTGGCACAGAGCCATGTCCATTCATATGGTTCTAAACCACACTGGCAAGGGGCATCTGGTCAGCAGCAGACAACACAGGCCCACAAGGCCACCACTCACTATCACACAGCCCAGGAGGTATGCTGAGCCCTGGACGGGACTCAGGGGCTCCATGGTCCCATGGGAGTGGGCCTAGAAGCAAAGACCCTCCCTCACGGCTTCAGGACAACACATTGATCCCTGGGGAAGTTTCAGATCTGCCATCTGACCCACCCTCAAGGAAACAGGCCAAGCGAGAAGGTACTGGAACAAATCAGCCCAGCCAAGCCACAACCAGGACATGACTTTAAACACAACCATGGAAACAGACCTGGCCCAGGTTGATTGTCACCAACTGGGGTAACTGTACCTATGAGATGAGGGCTATGGCCCTGGCAGAGATAAGGACATGGAGTACATAGCATGATCTGACTTAGTCAGGAGGCAGACTGGAGGGTTGAGCCCGGCACACCCCATTACCTTGCCTGCTGCTCAGCGGGCTGCAATGGGGCCCATCCCATCTCAGTCCTGCCTGTAAGATGTGGAAACAAGTTAAAGAATCACTGGTCAACAACTCCGAAGATTCTATCACAGCTCAAAACAAGTTCACCGAGCCACTAATCACACCTGTTGTGGGCTGGGAATGTGGCTTAGTGGTAGAGTTCTTGCCTAACACACCTGTTGTGATTTTTGTATGCCAGTCCTGGGACTTGAACTCAGGGCCTGAGCACTGTCCCTGAGCTTTTGCACTCAAGGCTGGCACTTTATCACTTAAGCCACACCTCTACTTCCAGCAGTTAATTGTGGAAATGAAGCTTACAGATTTTCTTGCCCGAAACTGGCTTGAACCATGATCCTCAGATCTCAAACTCCTGAGTAGCTAGGATTACAGGCGTGAGCTGCTGGCACTGAGCCCTATTGCTTTTTTTTTTTTTTTTGGGGGGGGGGGGAGTGTCTGGTCGTGGGGCCTGAACTCTGAGTCTGGGCGCTGTCCCTCAGCTCTTCAGCTCAAGGCTAGCCCTCTACCACTTGAGCCACAGCGCCACTTCCGGCTTTTTTCTTTTTGCCTATGTGGTCCTGAGGAATCGAACCCAGGGCCTCAGGCATGCAAGGCAAGCGCTCTACCACTGAGCCACCTTCCCAGCCCCCTATTGCTTTTTTTTTTTTTTGCTTTTTTTGTCGGTCAGTCATGAGGCTTGAAATCAGGGCCCAGACACTGTCCCTGAGCTCTTCAGCCTCAAGGCTAGCACTCTACCACTTGAGCCACAGTACCATTTCTGGTTTTCTGAGTGGTTTATTGGAGATGAGAGTCTCATGGACTTTCCTGCCCAGGCTGGCTTTGAACCATGATCTTCAGATCTCAGCCTCCTAAGTAGCTAGGATTACAGGAGTGAGTCACTGGCACCCAGCCCCATATTGCCTTTTTTTTTTTTTTTTTGGTCATGGGGCTTGAACTTTGGGCCTGGTTGCGGTCTGTCCCTGAGCATTTCCGCTAAAGGCTAGCACTCTACCACTTGAACCACAACGTCACTTCTGGTTTTCTGGTGGTTTACTGGAGTAAGAGTCTCATGGACTTTTCCTTCTCTGGCTGGCTTTGAACCATGATCCTCAATCTCAGCTCTTCCCCCCCCTCCAACCTCCCCCCTAGCAGTTTGGATTACACAGGCATGAGCCACAGCCGCCTGGCTTCCTATTGCTATTTTTTTCCTAAGGGTAGTTATAAAACAAAACAAAGCCAGCTGCCAGATCCCTCCAGCCTGGGTTGAGACTGGGTAGGAAGCAGAAGTCCTTCCCTCCCTACTGCCAGCTCACTGAGCTCACTAATTAACAGCGATAATCACCATACTATTCAGTCCAAAAGAGACCAGAGACCACTATGGCTCCACTTTGAAGCAGACATGCTGTGTTCCACTTTATATAAAGCTTCATTTCACCTCAATGGAGGAGACCTTTGGACTTCAGGACCATGTTTCTTTCAAAAGATAAATAAATAAATAGCCATGAATACTCTCTAGAACTTTCTGTTTAAGAACAGCCTAGCCTGGTGCCAGTGGCTCATGCCTGTAATCCTAGCTACTCAGAAGGCTAAGATCTGAGGATCGCAGTTCAAAGCCAGAAAACCGGAAGTGGCGCTGTGGCTCAAATGGTAGAGCACCAGCTTTGAGCTGAAGAGCTAAGGGACAGCTCTCAGGCCCAGAGTTCAAGCCCCACAACTGACAAAAAAAAAAAAAAACAGCTTATTGGTAACTCTAATGCAAGTGTGAGTCAGGCTGACTTCCAACATTATCAGCTGGCTCTAGGCAGACTTCCGGCCTGCTGTGTTCCTGTCCCCTCCCTCCTGTCACCCAGCACCTCCTCCTGGCTGCTACCTGGGGAAATTGCATGACTCACTAACCCACTGGGCTCCTCTCCCTTCCCGGAAACCGGAAGCAAACACTTTCCCTTACAGAGCTGAGGTTCAGGACAGCCCTGGGAGGGGCTGAACTCAGAGAAACATAGCACTGCCTGCCTTGGACATCTAAGTTCCAGGTTCGAATCCAGACCAGGCTAGGGTAGTGTTCCACCCCAGGGACAGGACAGGTTTCCCTGGGCTTTCATCCTGGGATGAAAAGCACAAAGAAGGCCTGGCCGTGTGGAACACAGCTTACCCTGGAATTATGGCCTGACAAGCTGACAGATTTGAGGCAGACACTTCTGTCCAGGTCTGATCTTACATTGTGAATGAAGGGAGGCAGGTCAGCATAGGTGTGGACACATGTGTAACTTCCAAAGTGCTCAACTTACACTTCCCTTTATACATCTATCCAAGCCAGCTAACCGATGAGCTCGCTAGACAGCTGAGAAGTGAGAACAATGTCCTCAATGCACCTGGAAATGCATTCACAACATAAGATGGCCTGATGGCTGGACCAAGGACTGGCATCTTGGGAGAGACCTGAGGATCCTGGTTCAAGGCCAGCCCAGATCGGAAAGTCTATGAGACACTTACCTCCAGTAAATCACAAATGAGCCAGAATGGAGGTGTGGCTCAAGTGGCAGAGCGCTAGCCTTAAGTGAAAAAACTAATGGTTCAGGGCCAGGCCCTGAGCTCAAGCCCCAGTAAGGGGATGGGGGGGGACATGGAGGGGGACACACATGCATATACTTGAGACCATGCTGAAGTAACAGCCTGTGTGGCCAAACAAGATCCATTTGGGAGCCATGAAAAGCAGTTAGGGTGAGAGGAAGGAGAAAAGAGGAAAGTTGGCCCCCAGCAACTGGGCTGGGTCGTGGCGCCTCTGTCCTTGGCCCGCACGTGGCTGTTTTCTCAGGCTCTAGGCCCTGGGTCCTCCCAAGGCAGGCAGGCAGGCAGGAGGCAGGCAGGGGGAGAGGCTTAGCTGGGAATCCTGAGCCCTTCAAGTCATCCAGTGTCTTGTGGGAAGGCAGCCTGAAGGTCTCCCAACAAATTAATCACCACAGCTCATGGGAGTTGGCGCGCAGGGGCCTCCGGGGCCCCACGCAGCCAGGCCGGCGCAGTGCCGGTTTTCCAACCTAGACAGCAGGTGGCAGCAGTGCCCAGCTCGACAACAAAGTCGGGCACAGGCACACTCGGCTGGCGACTTTTTAAATCCAGTTAGAGGGCTCCTGACCTCCTAGCTGGAATCCACGGCTGACGACAGCTCCCAGGACCCACACCTCCACCACCCTCAGGAACCCCACTCCCAGAATGCACCACTGTCCCCCAAGACACCAACCAAAGGGGAGAGAGCCCCCAGTACTGACAATACCACGTCCCAAACGTGAGTTAGCTCTTCTGCCAAGATGGCGAGCCCAGAAAGAAGGCAAGGAGCAATTGCTAGCGCAGAAATTCCCCCCCTCAGACATCCAGTGAGCTCGTCCAAATGCCTAAAAAGGGTCTGAACCTAACTGGGGGCAAGCTGTGAGCTATCAGGATGTGTTTAATAGGAAAAACCTGGTCTCTCCCAACCTAATTGCTTGATGATTCTTCGCTCTTCTTGGGAATTCTTCAGCTCTCAGTGGGCCACCTCCTATCTCTTTCCCTAGAAATTATTTCAAGGGGAGCTAAAACAAAAAAAAAAATTATATAGCTGACTTTGAAAGCCCAGACTCGACTATAGAGTGGCAGCTGCCCGGCTAATGTGTCCATGTACAAGTCTGGCCTTTGTTCCTCTCTCTCAGGCATTTGAGGTTTCCGTAAGGGCTCCTTCCTTCCGGGAGACATGAAGCGGGACCGGACGAGAGGCGGCGGGGGGAGACGGTGTGCGTGTGGGTGGCTGCAGAGGCAGGCTGCCGGTGTACCAGGCAAGAACAAAGGTAGGACTATGGGGCGGGCAGCCTGCCCAGGGGGGCTTACCTGTTTACCCCGGTAAAAGAGCCTCTGCAGGCCAGGCTCCACGTGAAACAGGTCTTGGATCTTTCGCCGTAGTTCCTCGACCTTGGTGAGCCTGGACAGGGAGTCTATGGTGTGAGTCTCCTTCCCGTCCATGGTGCGAACCTGAACCCACATGGTTGCGGTTGCTAAAGGGGTTCTGGGGAGAGGGAGAAAGCAAGACCTGAGGTCAGTGTGGCCTACAACCACCAAGCCATGCCAGGGTATAGGGGTGAGCGAGGGGGGGTTGTGATGGCTTTTGTCCAGCCAGTGGACACTAGGTAACTTCCAGATCAACCTCCCCGGTCTCCTGGTCCCCATAATCCCACCAGATCTCACCCAGGGCCACTAAATGAGGGACTAAATGTTGCCGACCACCAGATCTTGAGGGTAAAAGGGGGAAATCTCAGACCTCCCAGGGAGAAAGAGGGTGTCAGACCACCCAGGACAGCCCACAGACTGTTCGAAGGTGGAAAAGTCCATCCAGGGTTTAAAAAAAAAGAAAAAAAGACTAAGGCCCTACACTGGGAGTGGACGCAGCTGCTCATTCATTCATTCGTTCATTCATTCCTCCCGGATTCTTATTTACAGAATTTTCCTCCCAAGTCTGGAACCGCCTGGAACTTCCTTCACAACTCCCAGAGCAACTCAACCAAGTACGACCGAGATAGTAGGGCACCCCCCCCAACATGCGACCCCCCAGCTCGAGCCCCAGGACGTCCTAAGGGACAGCGGGGGCCCCTCGACACCCCGTCCCGCCGGCGCGCGTGCGCCACTCCACCGGCCCCGCGGTGGCCATGGCAACCGGCCGCCCCAACCCGGCCACCCCCGCGCGCCCCTGGAGACTCCCCTCGAATCCCCCTAGCACTCTCCGAAGCCCCCGATGTCCTCCGACCCCCGACAGTCCCCCACAAACTCTCACCGGCCCGCGCGAGTCTCGCCAGCCACCCCACGCCCACCCCCAAGCGCGGGGTCCGACCGAGGGGCCCCGCTCGACAAGTTCCGCCCCCCTTCACTTCAGCCGCTGCTCTTATTGGCTGAGCCGGATCCGGACGCCCCGCCCTGCTCTCTTCCTATTGGTGGAGACACGCCCGGGGAAGTCAGGGCGCGCGAAATCAGGCCCGGGCGCGACAATTGAACTGCGGGGCTCCCCGCGCGCAGGCGCGGAGACTGACATCCTCCACCGCCCCCCCCCCCCCCCCCCCGCCTTCACCACCCGCCCGGCCCGCCGTGCGACCCCCCGCGCCGACCGCCCGACCCCCGCGTCCCTTGGAGGAAGTGGGGGAGGAACACCCCCCCTTCCCGGGAACCCGGACTCGGATGCACCCACGCCGGCTGCGCGTCCCCGTTCACGCGGGAAAGTTCTACAGAGCGTCCCGCTCGGAGCCGAGCACCGGGCCCGGGCTGGCACCGCTATCCCCGGCGTCCCGCACACACACACCCCGGCAGCTCACCCCTCTCCAAGCCGCCGCGACTTCCTGATCGTACCCCGGAGCACCCCGGTATGCCCGACGCTAACCAGCCCAGCTGCCAGCTGCTCTGATTTGTTTCCCGCGAAAACTCGGCATTTGGGAGCCGCGGGGGCCACGGGAGGCAGAGTCGGGGGGCGGGCTCCCGCCTCCTGATTGGCCATCGCAGTGGCGGGAAGCGAGAAAGGAGGTGGGGGCGCCCCCGCCTCCATCCACTCCACTCCCCCCACACCACCCCACCCCAGCTCCGCCCCGCAGGCCGCGGCCCCGCCCTGCGCCGCGCGCTCGGCCGGCCGCGTCCAGCGTGCCCGCAGCAGGCCTGGGTGGCAAGGCCTAGGCCCCCCTACCCCCGTGCATGCCCCGCAGGACCCCGAGGAGGGGGAACCCCAGAGTTGGAGACACTCCCCCCCACACCTCCAAACCTCCAGGATCCATTCCCGGAGCTCCCCACCCCTTCCCTGGACACACACACATTGATCCGCAGGACTGAAAAAGGCCGGAGCCAATGTCCAACAACATAGAAAACGTGAAGGACCGCCATCAGACTACCCTACACCCCACGGCTGGCCTGATCGCCCCCCAACCTACTCCCGCAGGGCCTGCCAGCTCTCTCCACCCTACCCACCCGCAGGCCTTGTTCTCTGGCGTTTTCCCGCCTCGCCTCATTTTCCCGCCTTCTCCGGGCTGTCCAGGCGGGCAGGGCCGCCCTGCCCCCTCCGCCGTGGCCTGGCCATTCTCTCTCTGGCAGGCACACAAGTGACCCAGGCCGGGCACCTTCAAAGTAATTGGACAGGGTGCTGAGGCTGAAGGGTAGGGGCGTTTGTGGTCTCAGGGAGGGTAAGTTCTCAGTCGAGACACAGGGAAGGAATAAACGAACAAATAGAGCAGATAATTTCAGATCCTTCTAGAGCGATGAAGACAGAAGGGGTAGGGAGGCAGGGGGCTGGGAGAGAGTTGATCCTGCCTGGGTAAGGCCTGGGCCTCTCTTTGGTAGATGACATTTGAGCTGAGATGACACTCTCAAGGACACGTGAGCAGGGCTGGGTGGTTTGTTGGGGACACCGGAAGGAAGGAAGGAGACCTTCTGCGCTAGGTCAGGCTGGGGGAGGGGAGGGGCAGGAGGACGGAAGGGAGGTGACACAGAGGACCTCTGAAGGCCACTGGAAGGACTTGGGTGTCTCCATCCCAAGTGGCAGGGAACCTAAAGACACTCCAAAGTGCCATTCCCCCCCCCCCCCCCACACACACACACACACACACTGAACTTTACAGAGTTTCTCGGGTTCCTTTTATCTTTCCAAGGCCGTTTCTGCCTCCACCAACTCTTACATACACACACACATACACACACAGAGGCAAGTCCTCAGCCCCTAAATGTGAGTGGAGTATATTCCACAGTAAAAGGGACTTTGTAAGAGTGATTAAAGGACGCCAGGGTGGGGAGATGGTCTCAGACGGTTCAGGTGGCCCTCACCACAAGGGCAATAGCAAGTTAGGAGGAGGCAGGAAGGTAAAAGTCAAGCAGGAAGGTGGAACCTGAGGAGTGAGAACAAATGAGACCACAGAGCTGGAAGACACAGCACTCCTTAACACCTTGATGGGGTTGGGGGGGGTTGGGTTTTTTTGGGTTTTTTTTTTGGTTGGTTGTGGGGCTTGAACTCTGGGCCTGGGCACTGTCCTTGCGCTCTTCAGCTCAAGGCAAGCGTTCTACCACGTGAGCCAAAGGGCACTTCCGGTTTTCTAGTGCTTTATTGGAGATAAGAGTCTCACTGTCTTTCCTACTGGGGCTGACTTTGAACTGTGATCCTCAGATCTCAGCCTCCTGAGTAGCTAGGATTACAGGCGTGAGCCACCGAGCTTCAGGCTGGTTGTTGTTGTTTTTAACCCCTAAGATTCATTTCCAATTATAGACCTACAGAACTGTTGGAAAAATGTAAGCCAGGTATGGTGGTACTCACCTGTAATCCCAGCACTGAGAAGGCTGAAGCGGAAGGATGATGAACTTGCCGTTAGTCTGGGTGACTTAGCAAGATTTTGCCTCCAAACAAACAAAACAAAAGATAATAGGCAGGAAGTTGGTGTCATTTATTACAACAGCCACAGGAAACTCATACCTTCTAACAGAAATTCAGAGGTGACTGGTAACTGTCTTCCAGGCTCAGTCAATGCCAATAAACGTAATTCTGAACTTTCAACCACTGGCCACACCACAGCTGTGAGCAAGAAACAGGTGTGCCCACCTGAGTTTTTCTGAAGAATTCAGCCCATAACTAGGAGTACAAATCACCTGTTTGTGCAAAAGCGAAACCTGGCTGAAGATTCAAAATTCCTCAGTTAACCATCACTCAGTTTAATCATTTAAAAGCCCAAGTAAGCCAGATGCCAATGGCTCATGCCTGTAAGCCCAGCTGCTCAGGAGGCTGAGAATTGAGGACTGAGGTTTGAAGCAAGCTCAGGCAGGAAAGTTTGTTATCTCCAGTTAACTGCCTAGAAGCTAGACGTGGAGCTGTGGCTTAAGTGGTAGAGGGTTGGCTTAAGTGGTCAAAAGCTGGCTTGAGTGAAAAAGCTTAAGGATGGTAACCAGGCCCTGAGTTCAAGCCCCCATACTAGCGCAAAAACAAGAAGGAAAGAAAAAAAAGGAGAAATAAAGAGATAGAGGAAGGAAGAAAGGAAAGAAGAGAAAGAAAGAGTTCCAAAGAAAGGAAGCAAGCAAGCTGGGCAAAGGTGGCTCACGCCTGTAACCTAGCTACTGGAGAAGCTGAGATCTGAGGATCATGATTCAAAGCCAGTGTAGGCACAAAACTCCCCATAAGACCCATGTCTAATGAACCACCAGCAAACTGGAAGTGGAGCTATGGCTCAAAGTGGCAAAGTGCTAGCCTTGAGCAAAAAAGCTCAGACCCTGACCGACTGAAAAAAAAGGAAGAAAAAAAGAAAGGAAGGAGAAACTATTTTAGGTACCTCAGAAAGAAGTTCACAAACCAGTTAGACAAGATGTTCAATAGCTACAAAAGCAATCAGTAAAATAAAAGTGAGACAAGGCAAAGACAATGAAGTCTGTCAGTTTCCAGAAGAGTCCTGCTGACATCTTTGTGGCTTATCATGTCCCTCCTGCCCAGGTACTGGCCCACATGCAACAAGAACAGAGAAAAAAAAAAATCAGGACTATCTCCTAGGGAACAAAGCCCTTAATTTCCCTTTCACAGAATAGATCCTCTAAGATCATTAAGTCATTCAAAAACACTTTTATTGACACCACCACCTTTGTTAGACTCAGACCTGCATTGTACAGATATGGCTGAGCCCCAAAGCTTGTTGACACAAGGTTTGACCATGGAGGGACTTCCCAGCCCACAGAAGAGTGGTAGAGATGGGGTCAATACTGGTAGAGATGGGGTCACAAGAAAGGACTGGAGCTCAGTTCACTCACAAGATCCTCTGCGCCACAACCCCAGTACATATTAAGTGCTTGTTCCAATCCTGGTTCTCTACCTGTAATTTTCTCTTTTTTTTGGGGGGGGGGAGGGGGTCCAGTCGTGTGGCCTGAACTCTGGGCCTGGGCGCTGTCCCTCAGCTCTTCAGCTCAAGGCTAGCGCTCTACCACTTGAGCCACAGCGCCACTTCTGGTGTTCTAGTGATTTATTAGAGATAAGAGTCTCACGGCATGAGGCCCTGGGTTCGATTCCTCAGTACCACATAAGCAGAAAAAGCTAGAAGTGGTGCTGTGGTTCAAGTCTCACAGACTTTCCTGCCCAGGCTGGCTTTGAACCACAATCCTTAGATCTCAGCCTCCTGAGTAGCTAGGATGACAGGCGTGAGCCATCGGCGCCTGGCCCCAGTTTAAAGTTTTATCAGGAAAATAGTTCCCTACATGTAACACCAAACAAAGCGATACACATGTCATGGGGGGGCTATCTTACGTGTGTGTGCATGTATGTGTGATGTGTGTGTGCGCAAGTGCACATGTAGGTGCGCCAATCTTCAGGCTTGAGTTTAGGCCTTAGGTGCTGTCCCTGAGCTATTTTTGCTCAAAGCTGGTGCTCTACCACTTAAGTCACAGCTCCACGTCTGGCTTTTTGCTGGTTAATTGAAGGTAAGAGTCTCATGGACTTCTCTTCAGAGCCAGTTTTGATTTTTTTTTGTAATTGTTATTTCTTAGGAAGAAGTAGTCAGGCCAACAAACATGTCAACAATGTGGCAGGCAGCCCCTCAACCTGCACCTTATCTCCAGCACGTGGCAGGGATGGGGCAGGGAGGTGGGGGTAGTCGAGTCTCCCTCCCCTTCTCGGAACCCTGTGTGGAGTGATGTCACAGAGACAAGGTGACCTCACCACAGGGCTGACCCCCCCCATCTCAGTGGCCTGGGGGGGGGGGGGGAGGATGTTTTCCCATCAGCCCAACCCCCCATGCCTGTGGTGAAGTCGATTGAGATACTACTGCCCAAGGATGCGGTCTATCTGGCCGGCTCCAGCATAGACGGGCAGGTGCTCCTAACCCTCAACAGTACCCTGGTGGACCCCATTGTGAAGGTGGAACTTGTGGGCAGGGGCTACGTGGAGTGGAACGAGGAGATCGGGGCGTCCCGGGATTATAGCAGAGATGTTATTTGCAATAATAAGGCAGATTATGTGCACAAGACCAAGACCTTCCACGTGGAAGGTAAGAAGTGGGGGGGAGGGGGTGGAAGGAGGGCTTGGCAAGCTGTAAAGAAAAATGAGCGGTAAGGGGCTGGGAAGGTGGCTCAGTGGTAGAGCGCTTGCCTTGCATGCCTGAGGCCCTGGGTTCGATTCCTCAGCACCACATAAGCAAAAAGAAAAAAGCCGGAAGTGGCGCTGTGGCTCAAGTGGTAGAGCACTAGCCTTGAGCTGAAGAGCTGAGGGACAGCGCCCAGGCCCAGAGTTCAGGCCCCACGACCGGACCCAAAAAAAAAAAAAAATGAGTGGGAAATCCACACAAACATGGGAGTCCTTCCCAGATGAGCAGGTCCCAGGTCAACCATGGGAAAGGGTGCTATAGACTGCCTTGATAGGGGGGGGGAGGGGGGAGAGGTGCCCAAAGAAATCT